GGGACTACAGACATGCACCACCATGCCTGGTTAATTTTTTATTTTTTTGTAGAGACGAGGTCTCGCTATATTGCCCAAGTGGTCTCAAACTCCTGGGCTCAAGCAATCCACATATCTCAGCCCTTCAAAGGGCTGGGATTATAGGCTTGAGCCACAATGTCCAGTGCATTTTATTCTAAATGAGTTATTTTATCCTTTGAGGATGAAGACCCTATATTAAGGCTAAAATATCTTGCAGGCATCCAAAACAGCATTATACTTTTAGATCTATTGATTGAGAAAGCATAGTGTGGCCAGGAGCAGTGGCTCACACCTGTAATCTCAGCATTTTGGGAGGCTGAGGCAGGAGGATTGCTTGAGGCCAGCAGTTTGAGATCAGCTTGGGCAATATAGCAAGACCTCGTCTCTACAAAAAAAATCAAAAAAGTTACCCAGGTGTGGTGGTGTGTGCCTGTAGTCCCAGCTACTAGGGTGGCTGAGACAGAAGGATCACCTGAGCCCAGGAGTTTGAGGCTGCGGTGAGCTGGGATTGCACCACTGCACTCCAGCATGAACAACAAAGCGAGACCTCGACTCCAAAAAAAACCCCCAAAAACATAAATTAATACAACATGAAAAAAGTTAGTATGAACATAGAAGCACAAAACTAAAAGAGCACTATTTAAACAAAGTTGAAGTTTGTTTATGTCATAAGTAGTTCAGGGCTGGCATTGTGGCTTCTCAAATATCAGGAGCCCAGGCCCCTTTGATCTTGTGTCTCTGCCATCAGGATGCTTCCAAAACCTCGTGATCCAAGATGACTGCTTCAGCTCTAGCATCACATCCTCATTCCAACCAGCAGACAAAAAGAAAAAGGGTTCATTCTTTCCCTCTACCATATGTGAGTATTAGAGTCAGAATAACCCAGCTTCTGATTGTGGCTTGACTAGGGGTCAGTTATTTGATCTCAGTAAACAACAGCTTTCCAAAAAGTTGTACACAATGCTTCTGCTTACATTCTGTTGGCCAGAATTTTGTTCCACGACCACACTGGGCTGCAAGGGAGGCTAGAAAATGCAGTCTTTAATCTGGAGAGTAGTGTGTCTAATATCTATTTTTAAAAAGGAGAGGATGGAGTTTGGGGAATGGAACTCCAGGTCCCCAGACACACACTTTTTCTATGACAATGTAATATATGAATGCAAACAATACTTTTACACTTCTGAAAAACAGAAGTAAATACAGGTTCAAGACATGTGAATTATTTAATCTATAGGCAATGCGTGGTTGAGAATTTGAATTTGAGGATCTGGTCATAAACTGGTCTCAACTGAAAGCTGCCCAGAGTGCAAAGGCAGCCTGGGTGATGTTAAGTTGGAAAGGCTGCCTGGAGGAGATGAGCTGGGCCTTGAGGAATGTGCAAGATTGTGAAATAGCTGGGGAAGGGCAACCGAGACAGAACCGACAGCAAAGGCAAGGAAGCGAGTGGGTATAGTTTGGCTGGGCTAGAAGGCATGTGGAAGCACTTTATAAACCAAAAACAGTAAGAATGTTGTCATCATCACAGAGAACAGTGTTGCAAGGTAAACTTAAAGGAGACTGAAAAGCTACAGAAAAGGTTTTGGCCAGGTGCAGTGGCTCAAGCCTGTAATCCCAGCACTTTGGGAGGTCAAGGCCAAGGTGAGAGGATTGCCTGTGTCCAGGGGTTCAAGACCAGCCTGGGCAACTTGGTGAGACCTTGTCTCTACAATAAATACAAAAATTAGCGGGGCATGGTGGCGTGTGCCTGTAGTTCCAGCTACTTGAAATTTCAGGCTGAGATGGAAGGATCGCCTAAGCCCAGCAGATTGAGGCTGTGGTGGCCAAAAGCGTGCCACTGCCCTCCAACCTGGGCGACAGAGTGAGACTCTGACTCAAAAACAAAAAAAAAAAAAGAAGAAAAAGGTTTTGAGTACTAAAGCAAAGCACTTGACATTTTGGCATTACTGGTTGCTAGATACGTGGCCTCAGGCCCAGTTAGTTAACCTCCAGGAACTTCAGACTTCTCCTCTGTGAAATGTGGGTAATAATAACCACCTAATAGGACTGTTTTGAAGTTAAATGCCAGCATGTAGTCAGCATTCAATAAATACTAGCTATTAATAAAACTCTGAGGCTGGGCATGGTGGCTCACACCTATAATCCCAGTACTTTGGGAGGCCAAGGCTGGAGGATTCCTTGAGGCTAGGAGTTTTATTTTAAATAAAATAAAATTGTATATATAGTTAGGGCTGCTCATGGCTGTCCAGGAGGACCTTTATTATCCAAAAAAGAAAAAATAATAATAAAATAAAAAGTTATCTGGGTACAGTAGCATAAGCCGGTAGTTCTAGCTACTTGGGAGACTGAGGTGGGAGGAGCCCTGGAGTTTGAGATTACAGTGAGCTGTGACTGTGACACTGCACTCCAACCTAGAGACCCTGTCTCACCAAAAAAAAAAAAATAATAAAAAATAAAAAAAAAGGCTCTGAGCAAGCAAGCAATATGTTGTTTTTTTTTGAGTTGGAGTCTCACTGGGTCACCCAGACTGGAATGCAGTGGCCACTCCCGGCCACTGCAGCCTCGACCTGCTGGGCTCCGGCGATCCTTCCGCCTCAGCCTTCCAAGTAGCCGGAATTACAGGCATGTGCTACCACGCCCAGCTGATTTTTTTATTTATTGCAGAGATGAGGTCTCGCTGCCCAGGTGGGTCTCGAACCCGCGGGCTCAGGCAATCCACTCACCTCAGCCTCCCAAAGGCGCGGGATTACAGGCTGAGCCACCGAGCCCAGCTAAGCAATATGGTAATGTTTTAAGGAGTAGCAATCTGATAGGCAGGGTAGGAGTGATGAGAGAAAGAAAAATCTAAAAGTAGACAGAGCAAAGCAATAGGAAGTAATCCAGCACAACTGATGCACAGGAGTTTGCATTTAATGTGTCAGACAAAGAAAAATTGAAGCTGGCAGACAGAATACTGGAGGCAGTGATATCAGTTAGGATTACTGCCAAAGTCCAGGCCCAGGGATAAGGGCCTAAAATAAGCCAGTAGCTATGAGGGTGGGAGAAAAGATCTGGCTACAAAAGGAACTTGGTATAAATAATTGTAGGTAGGGGGTGGGGGGACCAAGAAAAGGAAAGAAAGCCTTTGGCTTGAGATGGAATGGCCAGTGGCACCATTAACCAAAATAAGAAAAGTGGAGGTAAAATAGAATGAGGGATGGAAAGAAGGTAAGCTCCGTTTAGATGGCTGACAGAGGGGCATTCAGATGATGAAGATGCCGAGTAACCCATGGGCTATACAGAGCTGGGGTCAAACGTGGTTTGTGGGCTGGAGGTGTATAGACTTGGAAGTCCCAGGAAACAGTGGTGGCCTGGAGGTATGTGGAGGAGAAGAGGAGTTCACCTGACAGATCCTGGAGGCCAGAATCCTCAGGGTCAAAACTTTCATGAGAAAAGAAAAAGAGAATCCAGAAAGGAGGAGTAAAAATGAGAGATGAGAGAACTGGGAGGCAGTGGTGTCAAAGAAGCCAAGAGAAGGGGAGTGCCCAGTAGAGCTATTTGAAGTTCACAGATGGGGACAATGCCTAAAATGGTTAGCAAGTTGCTCAAACGTTAAGCAGAATGTTGCCAACGGGAAAGGATTCGCTGACTCCAGAAATGTTCACCCCCTGCTAGTGTGAGGGGCAGTGCGGGAAAGTTCAAAGCAGCTCAAAGAAACTTCCCACTAAAAGTAGAGCTCTGCCAACATGGCTAGAAGATGGTAAGACTTTCTGACATGCTCTGGGTGCCTCGACCTTGGATGTATGTATGCCTGTGTGTGTGTCTGTTTGTCTGTCTCTTGTTTCTCCCTCAGCAGTGAACCTAAGGCCTGGAAGGGTAAACGTGGAAGTGGCCAGCCCACACAGCCTTTTCTCTCTTAGTCCTTGCTAGACTGTGAAGTTCTTGAGACTTATCCTCAGCATCTATGACTGCGTTCTAAGTACACAATCATTCATGTTTGTTGAATAAAAGGCCAAAAGTAAATAAGATAACTAGCCAACAAGCGAAATAAGTGCTGGAGGACATAAGTCAATAAGAGAAGTGTTTAGAGTTCTTGGAATCAGTCTCAGACCTGAGGAATGAGGCTCTCACACTTCGTATTTGTCTGGGCAACCTTGGGCAAGTTCCTTAAATTCTGTATGCAATGAGAATTACAATAGAACCCACCCTAAATATAGCAGTCACCTAAGTGACAATGTATAGGATATATTTGGCAAAGTATTATTATTCATCTTCTCCAGAAGTCAGAACTGAGAATATTTTTGTACATTTTTAAAGGAATTATAGGCCAAGTGCAGTGGCTCATGCCTATAATCCCAGCACTTTGGGAGACCAAAGCAGGACTACTTGAGCCCATGAGTTTGAGACAAGCCTGGGCAACATGGTGAGACCTCATCTTTACAAAAAAAATCAAAGACTTAGCCAGGTGTGGTGGCCCGTGCCTGTAGTTCCAGCTCCTTGGGAGGCTGAGGCAGAAGGATTGCCTGAGCCCAGGAAGTTGAGGATGCGGTAAGTCACTGCACTCCAGCTTGGGTGACACGGTGAGACCCAGAATCAAAAATAATTAATTAAATAAATAAAATAAAGGAATTATAAATATAAATCGACTGCTCATCATCAATCAACGCCATCGACTTAAGTTTACTGCAGCCAGGAACTGCACAGCCACATCAAAATAAAACCACGGAGATGAAACCTACCTCTCATGGAGTCAGTAAAGAGGTTAGAGAAGTTAAATGACATCATTTATGTGAAAGAACTTTCGCGATGAATAGCATCCACCATACAAATCAATTGGCCCTTTCTTCAAACTGTACTGGCTAGAGAATGTGAAAAGGTCTTGTACACAGTTCTTACCTTTGTCACTAAACCAAAGCTTCTGGTGCACTCATTAGACAAAAAGGAAACAAAACACACAACTTTTTTCTATGATCGAGTAAGCAGCCCCTCTAAATCGTACTTACAAATTCTTCTTCTGTAATAGCTGGTAGTTCTGAAACAAGATAAAATATTACATTATCTCACTCAAATGTGATTTCCTTTTCGGGCAAATGAAATAATTTGAGACAGCACCTAGCCCCGCTTTATACATAAGCAAGCCCGGTAAAGCGTTGGCCCTCTGTTCATTCTTTGCACATGGATTGAATTTTAAGTTGGAATTCAAGGTGGAAGTGGGGAGGAAAGGCCTCTGGAATCCAGCGTGGCCACTAATTCACTGTGACCCAGGAGTTAACCTCCGCAGATGGAGGCCTCGGCTATTCCAGCTACAGCGTGGAGACCACACGAGATCCAGCAACACGGTGCCAGCGTGGGCGGGCGGGGGGAGGCCCTGAAACTCGCAGCGAGGCGCGTGGAGGCGGTGAAGCCCGCTTGCCGGTGCTTGGAAGAGAGGACCCCGGGCAAGAGGGGAAACCCCGAGGGGGCGCGTGGCGCGCCCCGACCGCGGCCTGGGTCCCCGTGGGCG